CACCCCCAGGTCCTTTTCCGCCAGGCAGCTTTCCAGCCACTCTTCCCCAAGCCTGTAGCGCTGCATGGGGTTGTTGTGGCCAAAGTGCAGGACCCGGCACTTGGCCTTGTTGAAGCTCATACAGTTGGCCTGGGCCCATCGATCCAGCCTGTCCAGGTCCCTCTGCAGAGCCTTCCTACCCTCGAGCAGATCAACACTGCCGCCCAACTTGGTGTCGTCTGCAAACTTACTGAGGGTGCACTCGATCCCCTCATCCAGATCATTGATAAAGATATTAAACAGAACTGGCCCCAATACTGAGCCCTGGGGAACACCGCTCGTGACCGGCCGCCAACTGGATTAACTCCATTCACCACAACTCTCTGGGCCCGGCCGTCCAGCCAGTTTTTTACCCAGCGCAGAGTACACCTGTCTAAGCCGTGAGCCGCCAGCTTCTCTAGGAGAATGCTGTGGGAGACGGTGTCAAAGGCCTTACTGAAGTCCAGGTAGACCACATCCACAGCCTTTCCCTCATCCACTAGGCGGGTCACCTGGTCATAGAAGGAGATCAGGTTGGTCAAGCAGGACCTGCCTTTCATGAACCCGTGCTGGCTGGGCCTGATCCCCTGGTTGTCCCGCACCTGCCTTGTGAGCGCCCTCAAGACGAACCGCTCCATAATCTTTCCCGGCACCGAGGTCAGGCTGACAGGCCTGTAGTTCCCCGGATTCTCCTTCTGGCCCTTCTTGTAGATGGGCATCACATTGGCCAGCCTCCAGTCGTCCAGGACCTCCCCTGGTCAGAGGAACTGACAGTGTGGTAAAGATACTAACCAGTGTTGATAAACTGGAGTAACACACATAGTGCAGAGTAGCTTGAGCTGCTTGTTTGGTTTATGTTGTTTTTTTAATTCATCCGTAAAGCAAGAAAAAAAGATTGGGCGGTTCTGTAATCTGTGAGGATTACTGAAGTCTCTGTAGCAATAATTTAAAAAGGAAACAGTCTGGATAAGGATGAAATGGCAAATACATTGTAATGCTGTTATATTAATCAGTGCTGAAACTCTCTGTTTGAGTATGTCTTTGGTAACGGCTGCTGTGTCTCAAAAGCAAATATCAGAGCGAGAGTTTGATAAAGAAATTATTTGAATGTGGAAAACCTTATAGGAGGAAAAACTGAAAAAATGTCAGGAAATAAGAAGAATGGTGAAACATCCATAGGAAATACTGAAAAATATAGGGAAGATAGTTTCTTGTTACCTTTTCTTATAATACAGGAGCTTGTAGAGAAGTTTGACCTTTATGTATATAACCTAAGCGACCTCCAATTCAAAGATGATGCTTGACTTTTTAATTTTTTTATTTTCTTCTCCCAAAGGGCAATATCAGCAGTTAAGTGTTCCTGAAGACCAAGCAGACAAGTTGCTCCTTGCAAGCTGGGGTCTTCCCAAGGCAGTTCTGGAGAAATACCACAGTCTGGGAGTAGTACAGATGTTTGAATGGCAAGCAGAATGCCTAATGCTCGGACAAGTTCTGGAAGGGAAGAACCTAGTTTACTCAGGTATGCAAACATCTGACAAAACCAGTCCCCCCTAACTTTCCCAGTGCCATTTACAAGAACATATTGGTGCTGAAGGGTGCTAATCTGGCAGATAAAAAGGTCAAGATCCTCTGTTTTCTGGAGAGACCCCCTTAAGATTTGTCCTATCACTGTACCTCAGACCCAGCTTGATGGACTCCTTTCCAGATGTGAGGAGACTTTTTTCACCATTTTCTCTGTAATGTTCCTTTACAAACTGATAATTAGGAGTCAGTTAATGATGACTCTCTCTTTTTTATTACAGACTATGTCAACCAGGAACTGAATGATAAAAACAATGTTAGATATAAGTACTTTTCAAATTTTTATTTACTGTCTAATTTTTTCAGTCCCTTATCATTTCTCTTCACATAATGTATGGGGGAGGGTGCAGAAGGAGAAGTAGGACGGGTGGAGTAGAAATCTGTGGGAAATGACAACTTGGGTGTCTACTCTCCATTGGAAGAAGGTCCCAGAGCAGCACTGTGAGGATGAAGAACTTAGAAGAAGGGCGGGTGATTTTCTTAGGCTTGGATTTGAGTTTTATTTGGTTCCAGAAGACTTTGGGCCTGATTGCTGGGTAATGGCTGTGCTCTGCTATGTGGCATCTCCTCCTCAGTTTTCTGTGGATGATAGATGGCAAACAGCAATGCTTGCCAAACAGGAGGGATTAATATATGTATGGGCTAGGTCATAAGGTGGTGGCTGAGCTCTCCTGTCCAACCAAGAGACTGTAGTGGGTTTTTTTGTTTGGTTGGGTTTTTTTCCCCCTTGCTTATCTCTGAGCTGCTCTTGCTTCTGGGGCAGAGATGAGAACACAAGCCTTGGTAGCATGATGGAAGAGGCTAGAAAAGAAATGCTTTGCAGTCGTCGTGACCCATTATGGGGTTCAACTGTGGGAGTGGGTGTGGGAGAGGGGCATCAGTTGAAAAGCCCTGCCCCAAGTTCTCCAGTAACTGCTTTCTATGCTAGCTTTATGATGCTTGTTCCTTAGATTATTTTTTTTTAAACTTTAAAAATTAATTTAAAAAAAAACAACTTTTTTTTTCCCAGCTCCTACCAGTGCTGGAAAGACTCTTGTTGCAGAATTGCTTATTTTGAAGCGAGTCCTGGAGACTCGTAAGAAAGCTCTTCTCATCCTTCCCTTTGTCTCTGTGGCCAAGGAGAAAAAATGTTATCTGCAGGTAAGTAGCATTCAGGGAGGTAAATTTGTGGGTTGTAGTTGGTCGGTCACATTTTTTAAACAGTCAGAAGTTTTTGCATGGATTTCAGGAAAAAAAAATTGCAGAGTTTTTTCAGAAAGGGTTTGTAGATAATTTAAAATTTGCTCTTGTTTGAAATTGGAGATAAAAAAAAGAAAGTTTTAGCCAAAAAGGGAAACTTGGAAAAATGTTAAGGATTTGATTAAAACATTTTATTTCAGCTTTGACTTTTAAAGCATTGTTACTTGCATTTATTCACAGATTTTGTAATATACAAACTTTAAAGCAATTTTCAGATTGTGTCTGAAAATCTACAAAGGGAAGGTGTCAACATTATCAGAAAGGATCTTTTTATTTTAGCTTTCTGTGGGGTGTTCCACCAGAATTTTGTGCCTTTGATTTCACTTTGACTTTGCTAAAAATATGTTCTGAGAGAATGTGGTTATGTCATGGCTTCCTCACCCCAGCTATTTAAAAACAGAATTGCAGTGGGAACAGTCTTTTTAAAACAAAAACATTTTTTCTTGAAAGACTTTCATATAAAATATTGTTTCCATTAACTAGTATGTCAAAGTAACAACAATTACTAAAAACAAATACAAAACCAGCAGGCATTTTTGTTATAGTTTCTGATATTTAAGACATTTTGGGTGTTAGTAAACTGAGATGGTATCTTAACCTTGCAAATTGCTGGGAGATGTTACAAAGTGAGTGCAAAAGCTACTTTGTAGTGATTGATAAGGGAGACAGCTTTTGCTTTAATCTTGTAAAGCTGGAGGATTATCGGTGCTGTGTTCTACTACTCCTAGCCTAAGGTTTGGCTGTAGCTGCACTTGCTTGAAATCATATGGTATCCTACCCATCTGGTTCAAACATTTGTACCTTTTGTTAACACAGCGTGTAATGTGCCAAAGATTTGGCACTGCAATAATAAGCCGTGGAAGAAAAGGAATCGTCGTTTCTTGACTTTCAGCTGGGAGATGTGATATCTTTGTGTTTGGGGTCCCACATTTGGCTTTTGCCCCAGATTTCTCAGGAGCAAGGCTTCTTTGTACATAACCCACTGGTAGTATAAGCTGTTGCACTGTGTGTTCTCTAACCTTCTTAATAGTAAATGTTTTTATACAAAGCAGCTGTCCCCATCTCTTACTCAGTTATGTACACTTTATCCTGTAATGTGTACTGTGTGGCTTCTGCTTTGGAAATAAAAAATGGCAGTGAAAAAAAAAGGTAGCAGTAACTGGCTGAGCTATGGCTTTAATCTGATTAGTTGGCATTATAAGTACTAGAAATTGTGGTTGCAGGATGTGGGCTTTTATGTGATTCCAGCAGGCATTGGTCAGAATTCAGTTGCAACCTTGGCATGACATTCTGTATCCTTGAAAAACAGGCCCTGTTTCAGGAGGTGGATGTGAGGGTTGAAGGCTACATGGGAAGCATGTCTCCTGCTGGACGTTTCTCTGGCCTGGATGTTGCTGTCTGCACCATTGAGAAAGCCAACGGTCTAATCAATAGACTAATAGAAGAAAACAAAATGGACTCACTGGGTAAATTACTAAGGGGATGAGGGTTATTACATGCTCTGAGTACATGTGAAATCATGGGATACTTTGTATTTGCTCAGTTCTGTATGTGACAGATGCCATGTAGGAAAACTGAGCAATTTTTCTTCCTCCAGAGCACCTCTGATTTGGATTTAGGAAGGCAGTCAGGACTATTCTATGTAGCTCAGTGCTGGGGTGAGTAGGTAGAAGCTGCAGGTTTTAGTTTGTCTGACATTGATGACAATCCATGGACAGTGATTAGGTGCAATGAGCAGTGATTCCCATAGCTAGAAAATGTCTTCTAATTAATGAAATTGAATTAAAGGTCTGGGATGTGTTTGAGTTCAAGAATGTATGTGTGTATGTTCGTTTGCTTGGGACAGAGATTGTGTACATATAGCATCCATGGTTTATCTTCACTTAGCTCAAGGAAGAGAAGGAATTGTGTTTGGTGCTCATCTGGGTCCAGATAAGTGGAATGAATACATAGAGCTCCTCTGGGTAGGCATGGTGACTAGGAGGGCTGTGACATTCATTTCTCTCTTGTAGATTGCTCAAAAGCCCTCTGTCCTTGTAACGTAGACTTCTGGGTCACCATGGCCCTAATGGCCACTAGATAATGGTGGTATTCATTTAGTGTTTGGGAGGAGATATAAAACCTGAAGAAGCCCTATGTTTCTAGTGCACACTTGGAGAGAGACGTGTTTTCCCAGTCCAATCAGAAGATTGTTCTTCTCTCTGTTTCCCTCCTCAATAAAGCTATACCCAGTTATATTTTATACAGTAATCCCTCCCATCTTCACTCTGGCCTGTAACATAGCTGGTCGCTATTTTAAGAATATAAAAATTGGAAAACTTTTAAAATATAAAAAAACTTTTAAAGTTTTTTAAAAAAATATAAAAAAAACTTTTAAAATATAAAAATTGGAAAACAAAAAAAGAGTATCAAACTGCTCTGAGACCTCCACCTATGAAACTGCTGTTCCATGTGCATCTGGTGTCCTAATTTTCTGCAGCATTGTATGCCAGAGGAGTTTTTTAAACACAAGAGAGAATAAAGGAAATAAAGCCTTGCAGGTTTTGTCAGAGTGTGGGATCATGGGATAACACAGTCACACCTGGATCTATAGGGGCTGGATCACCATGAATGCTTTAGACTGCCAGTGGGCTGGAAGATGAGTGGATGACCGTGGTTGTGCAGCATTTTAAGCTCATTTGAATTGAGGCTCCTGCAGTCCAGCCTGATTCTTCAATGAATATTTTCATCCCTTCCCTTGCAAGAGAACTGGTGATCATGCAGTTAGTTATTTCAATATATGGCTACTTAGTTTAAGGTTTTTTTGTTTGTTTTAAATAGGGTTAGTTTGATCCTAGGTCACCACACCGTACTAGCTGTACTGCCAGCGTAAGGCAGAGAGTGGGGTCATGATGTCCATGTTTATGTTGGCTTGGGTGCCTTGGAAGCATACTCGGTATACTAAAATGTATTGTTTAGTGATATCATCTTTCAGAAGCTAGACATATGCCAAATCCCTTTGGTTGGTACCTCCATTCCATCCCTGCATTTTGTTGTGCTCTCTAAGATGAATGTACCTGAAAAGAGTCATATAAGTATAACCAGCCAAGTGATTACAAGATTTGAGTTTGAATATGTGTCCTCAACACCGATACCTCCTTAAAGCATGATGTTTTTCTTTCACCATTTGAAAACACCTCTGCTGCAACCCTCTGTTTCCCTTGTGCCCCAATATGACTGTATAACTGAAATAAGGGTAACATTTTTTTTCTCTTTATATGCTTATTTGAAATTAATTTTAAAATTAAATTTGAGTTTAAAAATAATCTCTAAGAAATTGACAAATTTTCTGTTTGGAGACAAATTTTCGTAAAAACTGCAAAATATGGGCATGAGCTGAAAATGCCAGTGTAATTGTCACATAAAACAAGCTGGTCTGAAACTGCAAGATTGTACCTCGTCTTCTAATTAATTCTAAATTTAGACCACCTCATAATGAGGGTGTGTTATCTTTTGAGATGAGTTACTGGGAGATGACTGCAATTCTGGCTGGATTCCATCTCAAGCTTGAGCTGTTCCTTTTGTTGATGTCAAACCCCTGCTGATAGCTCATGTTGCCTTTGGAAATTGTTGAGAGAAACTCAAATCCTCTGCCTGGCAGAGCTCTCTTTGCTGTATGAAGCAGTTAAAAGCAATTTTGTGTTGCTAATTATTATATAATGTATGTCAGTTTTGAACATCCAGGTACACAGGAGATGATATTCCTCTTGTTGTTCAGCCTCTTGACACTGATGCTAAAGAAATTTTTAGGAAAGTGGATTAGAGAAGAATCTGCTGCCTTCTCAACGTGTCAGCTGGGAATGGATTTGTAATGTGCTGTTGTGATACTTGTTTCTTTTCTTAATTTAAACTTGAAATTAAAAAAATTACTATTTTTTTTTTTTTTTAAATCAAATCCTCCCTGCCTGTCATTCAGAACTTTTTAGTTTTAAACAGGATGTGGACTTAAAGCAGCCTAGTTATTCTACAGTAAACATGTATGATAGCCCTCAGGTACTTTTTAGTAGTTTTTTTTCAGCAGTCTTCTAGGGACACACCTAATTTGCAGACAGAAAGAGGAGACTAAGGCTAGCCTCATTTTCAGTAGCAATGCAGTATGATGAACTTCTGGCCCCACTTGTGTGCCTCAGCTTGTTGTTGAGTAGAAAATACCATTGCATTCTGGGACCTGTAGTCCTCCTTGGTTGCAATTCCATTTTAAGATGAGGATAGCTTTGTGCAAAATACTGGTTGCCTGATTGCTTCTGCTGTGTTATCCCAGTGGGTGTGTTCCGAGTACAGCCTGAATAGAGGAGAGCACTGTGCATGTGTGGCAGTCAGGTTTCACCAGCTTGCAGACTGCCAGGGTAATAGAGTACACAGGTTTAGCATGGGTTTGAATATTTATTATAGTGGAGTAGCAGCAGAAGGTATAGAACAAGTGGCCCATACAACAAATAGTGGCATTCCCTGTGCTTTGGCCTGTAGGTACCACTAGTGTTCTATGCTTCATTTTAGGAAGCCAAATGTGCTGCTGCTTGGCACAAAGACTGGAAAGGTAACTTGTATGAATTTTACTTTGGTATATATCTGATTACACTGTCCTGTCTCAGCTGCTGGAAGAATTCAGACAGACTGTTGTACGGGGAAGCAGGAAGAAGCTTTTTCTGGTAGCTGAATAAATATCTATTTGGTGACCGACGAATTACCATTTTTATAAGCGAGCACAGAATAGAGGAAGTACAGGAAGACAGAGGAGCTGGATGGGTGGGAGTTTGTAAAAGAGGCTGATGAAGCAGTGCAGCACTCTTTTCTGACTTAAGTGGCTTGAAAGAGAAGGGGGGAGAAAACAGACGGAGAGAGAAGGAACATACGTAGGAAGGAGAGAAAAAAACCGAGAAGGAAAAATAGCATTGAAACAGATAATGGAAGGTCACATTTGCCCTTAAGCTCCTGCTATTTTAGCTGCACCAGGAAGAAATTACATAGTTGCACCAAAGAAAAAAAAAAAACCACAGCAGCAGAACTAACCTTTGCTTTTTTTTTTTTTTTTTTTTTTTTTTTTCAACCTTCCTTCAGCCTCTTCCATGTCCCTGCGACCCTGTCAGCTGGCCAGAAAGTGTACATACTACTGCTAGTTGGGATGTGTGCAGGAGGTGTGCTGGGTGGCTGAGTTGTAGTGGCTCTATGTTTTCTTCTCAGGGGAGACCCTAATCTGGTCTGTTGTCTTCAGCTGCTGATATTCGGAAAGCTTTTTAGGTATTATTCTTTTCAGTATTTCGATACATCTTACAAATTTGATGGAGGTGGCTAATAGATTAAAAAGTCATTTGCAGGAGGTAAGATGACAACAGAGCAGTCATGTAAGGATTTTTTCATTAGAAAGCCAAAGCTAAATAGTAGAGCTCATTCAGGTTTGATTAGTGAGAAAAGATATAATAGGAAGCAGGCTATGCCACTGTTATTACATCTGCTGTAGTTTTTTTTTTCCTGACATTACTGTATTAGTAAAGAGTAATGTTTTTAACTAAGACAGTGATGTCAACAAAGCTTTTGACTAGCTCATTTGGGTGCTGGAATGTTCCTTTCCAGATATTTTGAGGCCTGGGGGTTTTTACTTGCAGAGAGGTTACAGAATAGATGCTGCAGTACTGTTTTGTGTGGTGGCCAGACTAACAACTCAACCTATTTATTTTTGTTTTTTTAAAAGCTGATTGTGTGTGTGGGGTGTGAAATGTTATGACATTGGTCATGATTTGTCTCTCTCAGAAGAATCAGTGACAGAAGGAAGCTGTAGTAGCAGTGTTGGTAAGCACAGCTGGATTTGTGAATATAAATTTCAGTTCATCATGTGGAATATGAAAGGATCAAGGCTATATGTTCTTAGTTTGGAGTTTTGTCAGATATAACCTGAGTGCTTCTCTTTATCAGGAGTGGTGGTTGTGGATGAGTTGCACATGGTGGGAGACTCTCATCGAGGATATCTGCTGGAACTCCTTCTGGCCAAAGTTAGATATGTTACAGAGAAGGTTGCAAAACGGTGGGTAGACCAGGATGTCTGTCTTTTAATGCTAAATTATGGATGGCTCTAAATATTTTGTTCTCTGGGTGATTGGAAATTTGGGTTAGCTCCAGGGTTTTTCTGAGAGTGATGACCTAGACTACTTTGGTTATTAAGGTCTCATCATACCACCTCTCAGGGGCCTGCTGTTGTAGTCAAAACCTCTTTTCCTCATGGTTTTCAATTTGTGTGTTACCATGGGATTCATTCTCTCAGGAAAAGAAATAAGGTTGAAGCTTTCATTTCCTTTTTTAGCCTATTTAAATTTTTTTAAAAACTTTGGATTTAACGTTTTTGCTAGTGGACTTGCCCTGCTTAATTTTTCAGTGTTTCATGGAATGGGATGTTTATCCTACTGAAATGTTCAGGTATTGTGGAAGAGTGGGTATGCTGTTAACTTGTCAATGGTGAATTGATCAGAAGACTTAAGAGGATGTGCTGGTATCCTGCTTAGTTAGCTCTGCTCAGGGTGATCTGCGGTTTTGCTTATGACATGCGATAGCCTAGTAGTTGGATGGTTTCTTGCCTTTAGCACAACTGATTGGACACTGGGGAACAGATTAAATGTTTCAGAACAGCTTTAGAGGCTTTTTGGAATTCGGTCTCTAGATCCCAGCACCAAACTGTCCAGCTGCTCCGTAGTGCCCGAACACAGACAAAGGCAAATGGAGGAGATGGTGTGTCGGTCTTCTTAATCCTTACTGGTGAGTAAGGGAAGAGTTGATTTTGACTCTTCTCTCAGCACCAAAAGCCAGATTTTGCCAGTTTTCTCTGCTGCTTCCTGTCTTGTGAGTCGTACCAGTGCTGGGCTAAGCACAGACTACTTATTTAGTGCTGGGGGAACTGCCATTTCTACATTGGCTCTCCACCAGACATTTTAGGCTGTAATTCCCATCCTGATTTCCAGGATCCAGTGATGTTCTGGGTCTAATCACCCCCGACTTTTTCTCGTATTCTCCCCATAAGTCCTGGAAGCCAGCACACTTCAGAGCAGCATGAATGGCTTTGTCACTCCTTTTACCTTGGCTTATCGTGTAGCTGCAGCACAGAGGCAGGACCACTCTCTTGCTTTCCTCCCTTGCATTGAAGAAGCAGGAAGGAGAAAACATTTGCCAGGGAAAAAGGGACAGATGCATCAAGGAATGGTCCTGGGAATACACAATACTTCAACCTTCACCATATAGGTGCTGGGGCTCAGATCCTTCATCTCTCTGTCATGGTCAAGTTGACAGGGGTTCCCTGTACCACTTACATGAAGGAGGCGGCCATTATTTTTGTTTTGGAATCCACTTGAGATTTCTGGACTTGAAGACCACTTTTTCTCTCAAACATCTTCCCAAGACTGTGGTGCTTTTTTTTTTTTAATTTAATGGGAGCCACTTTGCCTAAATTCTGTAAACACTGTCCAGCCTGACCTGTTATCAGAATGAGCAGTGCTTTTAAGAACTTTTTAGGTGGTTAGGGGGATGTCCCACTGAAGCGTAAGGCTGTGTCTTTGCACCAAGAGAGTGTTCTCTGGTGGCTGTTGCCAATGTGGATGCCCTTGCTTCCCCGTGAGGCTTTTGCAGAACCAGCCAAAATTCTGCAGCAGATTTTTCTCCTCTCCAGTCAAAGAGAGTGTTGTGGAACTGTTTGTTTGGGTTTTTTTTTAATCCTTGAAGGTCAAAAGTAAGTTGCTTCGAGGGGAAAATCTGCAACCTAGATGGGGAGCTGTACTAGCAAATGCTTGAAGAGCTTGGATAAGAGTGTCTGCTTCTCCACATCTTCCTTATTTCCCTTTTTTACTCTAGCTTATGGGTAGTCTCATTTCCTCTGTGTTATCTTTGCCAGGGTTACCAGGAACTTCTAAGAAGGTTCAGGCTGTTTCTGAGCTCACATTGATTTGTCAGGCCTTTTTCTTTTTTAAAGTCTCAATTTATGGCTCAGTGCAATGCAAATGAGTAGTTTTAAACATAGGTTTAGGAGCATAAAAACCCCCCTATTGTGTGGATGTAAAAGCCTGAGTTAAAATATACATTTGGATATCTAAATTAATGGTTTGTGTTTTTAAGTCCTTTAAGAGTCCATTACTTCTCACTACCTTCAGTGGAAGCTGCTGTTCAGCACTTTGAGAACTGAAGCTGCTTTCTTCTTTGCTGAACTAAGGGCTTTGGTTCCCAACTCTAGGAACACCTCAGTCTAGTATTATTTGTCCTGAAATTGAAACCAATGGAAGTGTTTTAGTTAAGGCATTTAAACTTAGAAAGATTGCAGTGGAGACTGAACCATTCCTTTATTTCCATGTTTTTGTTAATGGCAAGGACATAGTTGATTTATTTATTTGTTTTCCGTTTCTCCAAATATGCAGTCAGGTTATGGCTGTTGTTACCTAAAGAAGCTGGAAGTTTAGGTTAAAATGATAAAAAGTTGAATTATCTTGTTATCAATCCGTAACCTGACATTGTGTTTGCTAAAAGTAGAGTATAGCTTGTTTCTTTTTCAAGAAGTTGAAAAAAATAGCTTTGCACTTTAGACCCGGGAAGGAAGTAGATTGAGTTAGTTTTTCTGAATGCTGTTTTCCAGAACAGTAGCCTGTGTTGTCACTAACTTGCATTTTCTTTTAACCACTTCCAGACAAGCGAAGATGACCGGTCCTGGTTTTGCTGGGATACAGATAGTAGGCATGAGTGCTACCCTCCCTAACTTGGGACTCTTAGCCTCATGGTTAGATGCAGAGCTATACTGTACGGATTTTCGCCCTGTGCCCCTCAAGGAGTGGGTGAAAATTGGCAGCAACATTTATGACTCCTCCATGAATTTAGTGCGAGAATTCCAGCCCAAGCTTCAACTGAAGGTAACAAAACTCTGAGCGGTGGCTTTGGGTTAACACGTTTTGTACAGCTAAAGTTAAAAAGACAGCTACTGGTATGTTTTGTTTTGTGTTTTGTTTTTTTTTTTTTTAAAATAGATGACATTCCCAACTTCATTGTTTACTTCATAGATTGTATGCTCAAACTAAGGACAAATTTTTTTTTTGTCATCTTCTGATTTAAACAAAAAACGAAACAAAACACACACTCATGAAGTTCTTGAAGTTTCTTAAATCTGACTTGAAAACAAAGTTGACTTTGCAGCTATCTTGTTTCTGAGCATGTGACAGTATAAAGAGTGTGATTCTCCCCTGACCCACCACCCTGTCTTGCGTCCTGGAATCTTCTTCACTTTCATAAATGAAGGTAAATATTTCCTGGTTAGGCCAAGGAATTTGCATTAATCATTGGGAGAATATATTTGCATTAAAATCTGGTATTGAATCTGGTTATGTTAACCTGCTAAATGATCTAATTTTGTCAGTCATTAGAAGGCAGATGTCCATCCTGATTCTTCTGTCTGTTATCAGTATTTTTTTTTGCGCACTTGAAAAGGATATGAAAACTTAAGAGTAATGTACTATAATGATTTGGAAGAACCAAATGGGTAGAAATGGAAAATTTGCACTTCCTACTTGTAGGTTCTTTTTCTGTAAAGTCTTTGAAAGGTGAATTCTCTCCCCAGTCCTTCCAACTGCTTTGTGTAATACTAGCGTAGCAGTTGGACAATACAGGCTGAATGCCAGCAATATTTTGGCATGTTTTGCACCCAGTTCTCGTTGTGCACAAACATTCTGTTGTCAGTAGTATGGTGGCACAGCAAAGAAAAAGGATCCTAGAAACAAAAGGAAATGTTTGTGACAAGAATATCCGGAAACTTGCTTTTATGTGCTCATATTGAGAAGGTGATGTTGCATCTCCTTTTCTGGCTATTTTTTGAAGTAGTTGCTTTGGATAGGTACTAAATTAAGTGAGAGCGAAAGCTGAACTAGGCTTATGACTCAACAGTTTAAGGGAGTTGGCTTATTTTATAAGACCAGGTGATCCTCTTGAGCTTGAAGTCCATCACTGGACCTTCAGACTTCTGATTTGTGCCTCAAACTGGACCACGAAAGGGAACTTGATGACCTCACCACTGAATTTGGCTGAATCCTTACCGAGCTTTTGATGTGTATATGCAGTTCCTGCCATGGCTTCCCTGTTTTCATTTGCATTTCAGTGCTTTTTATTTCCCACTGTGCGCCCACCTTTTTTCTCTTCCTCTTTTGGCCTGCTTGTTGGAAGAGAATCTGGCTTAGCCAAGCAAAACAGATCAGTTACAGAAACTCTCTTAGGATCTTAAATCCAAAAAGGCAAGCTGTAAACAATAGGGTTTTGCATGCACATCCATATAAGTATCCATAAAAGCCTTCCACTGTGCTCTGAACACTTACAGTCTTTGGTCAGCAGTGCTTGCTGGGTGCATCTTATTGGGGATGCTCAGACTACTACATCTCGCACTTTTAGTTCAAACATCCTAATTGATAAGTCTTCCTTAGTTGCCGTAGAGCGATGTTTTCCCTCAGGGCTCCTCCTAGTTCTTCCCCACTGCTGTTAGCCACGACATGGCGGTTGCAGTGTTTTTTTGTGCACTGTGTGGCCTTCATTCAGAAACAGATTTATGAAAGCAAGACATAAAACCTTAGATTTATTCATGGGTAGGTCTAGGGCTGTCCTCAACAATGTGGTCATACTAGTGCTTGGACTTCCTAAAGCAAGACAGAAACTGAGTTAACAGTGCTCCATCTTCTTCATTTGCTCCTCTTTCTGACTTGAAGTAGAAAATTCCTACCGTGACACAGAAGAATGACAGCATTTACAAACACCGTTCAGTGTGAAAGTGCATTGAAAATACTTTGTCTCAATTCAGGGAGATGAAGACCATGTTGTGAGCCTGTGCTATGAGACTGTTTGTGACGGCCATTCAGTCCTGCTTTTCTGTCCATCCAAGAACTGGTGTGAGAAGCTGGCAGACATCATTGCCAGGGAATTCTACAGTCTGCAACAGGCTGAGAGTAAGAGAAAAGTAGTTAATAGAAGACTCTAGTATGCACAATGCCTTTAATGAAAATTAATTTTAGTAGAAACTATAAAAATATTTTCTCTCTCAAGGTTCTGCAAAAAACTCAGCCCTTTCCCCAGTTGTTGTGGACAGAGAAGGGATCAATGAGGTTCTGGATCAGCTAAAGCGTTCTCTCTCAGGCCTGGACTCTGTGCTCCAACGTACTTTGCCATGGGGAGTGGCATTTCATCATGCAGGTATTCCTGAATATCTTGGTCTTGAATTCTGTAATGGTCAAGTCATATGGGTTCTTTTTGCTGTAGTTACCAACAATTTACCAGTTGCTTTTTGAAGCCTTCTGTAGTTTATGACTGAATTAAAAATGCTTCGAGAATCTCACAGTTAGAGGTAAACTTGAAATTCTTTTATTGTGGCTGAGGACTTTAATTCACTAATTGTTATGATAAATCTTCTTTCTGTTATGTTGGATAACAGCAACTTTTTAAACACAACTTCAATTTTTTTTTTGTGAAATGCCTGGAAAATTAGCTGATTTGCAGCCCAAGCATTTTCAAGTTGTCCCTAAAGCTGCCAGAGTATTTCAGGGCAATTTTCCTCAACTTAATACCGAAATAGAGGAGTAAATAGAAAAAGTGTAACAATGAAAATAAAAATAAAAGGAGCATGTGCCATGAACACTTCTGGCTAGATCTTTTATTTCTTACTTAAGTAGGTAATAGTGTATGTCACCTGTTGATCCACTGAGAGAAAGGACTGACTCTGGAAGAGAGAACAGTAGCTATGGCATTGAATATGTAGGGGGAATAATTCCAAATCCTTATAGAGTGTGGATTTCTCAAGAAATTTCTCAAGTGTGGATTTATTCTCAAGAATAAAATTGGCCTGAAGCCCTCAAGGAAACGTAGAAAGATAGATACATATTAGACCTGTAACCTAGAATGGAAATAATGAAGAAAGGTCAGGATCGCAAATGACTAAATCCTAGTTCCCTACTGTGTGTGTTACATCCAGTTTTCTTCTTTTTGCTTTCTTTATTTATTTACTTGCAGTGCATGTAGATATGTAGTAAATAGTTGTTCATCTTGCTACAATGCATACAAGCACCTTAGAAAAGCTAGTTGATAACTATTACTGTCAATTGAATGGTAAAAAACTTAATGGTGAAATTTTGCTTCACTTATGGTTCAAAAGAAGTTAACTGAGGTAGTGTTGCGACTCTAGTTCCTTAACACTGAATGGCAAATGTTCATTAAGTTTGTTTGTTCTTCCACTTGCTTGACAGTAATGTTATTAGCTCTTAAATGCAGTCTCACCATTACTGGGTTTGCTAAAAGTCAGTTGTCTCTCCTCAGGTCTTACTTTTGATGAACGGGACATCATTGAAGGAGCCTTTCGCCAGGGCTTGATTAGAGTCCTAGCAGCAACCTCCACGCTCTCGTCTGGAGTGAATTTGCCTGCGCGCCGAGTAATTATACGAACTCCCATGTTTGGTGGCAAACTGCTGGACATTCTCACTTACAAGCAGATGGCTGGAAGGGCTGGCAGGAAAGGAGTAGACACAGAGGGTAAGCAGAGGCTTTATTAACATTCTCTAAGAACGGTGTTAACCTGATTAAATCCAGGGCAGTGCTTTGCAATTAGTGACAAATCATGATTAATTCCTTTGGTATTCAGTATGATTAAGTTAATCAAGATGAATTTGTTTGGTATTAATGGAGTAAAAATTGTAATTCCCAGGGGATTCTTTTCACTGCATGAGACTTACTTTGGTATTTACATGTCAGTTACTTCAGGAATGGGCTATTTTCTCCTTTGAATTCGTGTTAGCTTTTAAGGCTCTGTTCATTTGCCTGAATTCTGTGATCCATGGTCAGTTTACTGAAGTGTTTACAGTTTCAGAAGAGACTGTAAACTGAGAAAATTTACAGTAAACTCTCATTGGACAGGCCTGAAATATAAGAACTGTGTTTAAAGTCTACAACCATGATTTGACAAACTTCGTCTGTTGTCTGAAGTTCTGATTTGGATTTATTAAACTTCCACTAAACTTAACCATAACTTTTATGGATCTTGAATGTAGTAATGTGACAGAGAGACAGGGAAATATGAACAGTAGTTCATAGATAATATGGTGTCTTCATGCATACAGTGGCACTGATTATTGTTCAACAAAATAATCCTGTCATTTTAATTTGCAATGAAAATTTATCTTCATGGATGATATTCGGAAAAATTGTATTATACAAGTATAAACAGTAGAAAATAAGAACTTCAACAAAAGCGGGAAGTGGAACTTGCCCTACTAATGGTTTGATTGGTGCTTGCTGGAACCCTATGTAAGCAGACTGTTCTTACATTTAACTTTCTATTTTTGCCAGAGTGGCATAGCAACAGAGCATTTTATGACCTATATGTCTGTGACCTATCCCTGTGTGTTAAAGAAAAGGGCAGCTGCATGCTGTATTTTGCAGTTTTCCAGACTTTGTCACTTGAGTGTAGCTGGCAGGTGTAAAATTACATTATTCCTTGAAGTTTCTTTTTTTTTTTTCCCTTTCAAGTTACAGTAATTAGTACCCTTTTTTGACAGTTCTGATGTGACTGTGTTTTGCACACTAAGCAGTTGATTTTATGCTGATGAGCTTCATGAATGTACCATTTTTTTCCACTCCACAGAGTCTTTTGGATGGGAACATAAAGCTCCATTACCAGCTGCTAGTCTTTCACAGAGTAGGGAGACTGGAGGACAGCAACTTCAGCTGGAAAAAATGCCTTATGTGGATATGAAATTCAGCTGACAGACAGAAGATAAATGCTGTTGGGTTGATTTCCTTCCCTTTCCCTCTCCCCCAACATTGTAGTGGGGACATAGTCTCAGGTTTTGATTTTTTTTTTTAATTTTTTTTCTGATTTGATGGAAATTTAGAAACATAATTTTAGAAAATGAAATTGCATTATTTTTGCATTCATCAAAACTGTCATGTTCCCAAAGTGAAATAGGTAAAGCTGTCGATATTGTTGAATAAAACCTAAAAATATAGTAGGGCCTTTTTTGCTTTTAATGGAGTTTTATGCCTAGATAGCCAGAGTCGTCTGGTGTTTGTCTAGACTGATGCTAACCTAGACTTCCCCTCTCATCTGTAATGTTCAATAAGGGATCTTAGAACAGCTTAGTGTGTTTTTTTTTTTGTTTGTTTGTTTGTTTTTTTACTGTTTGCTAGGTTGCAGTTATTGGCTTTAAGTTCTCAGTGGCATCTTGGGAAAGGGTTTCCCCCAAGTCTTGAATGACTCAGATAATGTAGAGCCAAGTGGATACCCATCTTCTGTTAGATTTATCACACTGAAGAGTCAAAGTTTTCAGAGGGAACTGTAGGTCACATCAGAACCCAAGTACGAAATGAGTGAACGTTCTTTATTGCTAAAATCAAAATAAGCTTTGCTTTCACAAAACAATGCTTGCAGGCAGTTTATCTTCTGTACTCTTGGCTCTGGCAAAAGTACATGGTCAACACATGTCAAAAGTTTCACACATCCTCTGAGCATGTCCTTCATCCTGTAATTCATTTATGTAATCATGTTTAAGCTGTATTCGGTTACTGGCCTACACTGCATTTGTGGTATTTATTCTGTTCATTAAATTTAAGCGCAGTTGTGTTTTCATTATCTCTGACTTTGCTAATTCCTGTAGCATTACCACGGCTACGGTTTTATCATAACTTAACATTCCTAGGCTCTTACTAAGATACCCACTACCAGAATTACCTTGGTGTCCAGACTACGTGCACTTAAATATTAACAAGTTATCATAAACCTATCATGATATTTACTGTCCAGCTAATCCAAATCTAATGCTCTCTTCTTAGTCAAAGGCAAGCGTGTCCTACCCATAATTCATTTATCCTGTGCCAACTGGCAAAGCTTCTAACTAGCTAGGTCTCCCAGGGACCTAGTTTCTCTGTAATGGCTTTGTTGAAAAAAATCTCCTTTATGTGACCACTGCATTTTCCATGGGTAGTCTGTACTATTATCTTATTAAAGGAATTGGACCATTATTTTTATTTTTGTTTCATGGCCCTGGGACCTTTTCAGTCTCACACAAAATTTCAGTAGTTAGGGATTAACTTAACGATGTCTGATAGAGAATTTTAAGGTAAGGTATATTTAGATGTACTTTCAGTGGAAACCGTTCAGGATACTTAAGATTTTTTTTGTGTGTGTGTATATATATGCATATATGAAAGTTCAGAGAATGCATAGTTACTTAAATTAATAACTTTGAATTTCTGAATTACTTCGGTATCTGTGTTATTTCATTTTGGGAGTGGAAGCTGATTGACTTAACACAAACTGTCAAAGTGCTGTACAGCTTTTATGTTTTCCTCTTGCTTTTGAGAATCTTTTCAGCAGAAGAAAAATTGATGCCACTGTATATTATAGTTCCAG